TTGCCATTAAGTCGTACTTTTATTGATAAGGAAAGCTGAATTTGCCTTAGAATTTGAGCGTGACTAAGTTTTTATTAAATTATGAAATATTTGAATGATTAATATTATTTTTTCTGACTTAGGGATTAGTCTATACACTTTTCCTCTCCTATTATAGTTCTGATAGCAACTTTTCACGTATTAACGCCTCAACGCGAGAATAGTATTAAAAGTAAACGACCGCAGAACGGCGTAAAAAGCTGTGGCCTGATGTGGAAATCAACTAGGGGATACCTTCGTCATGCGGTTTCTCACAAAATGAAAGACCCCACAATAATTCGTTAAAACTCAATTTCTCTTTAAATTAATACATTAAATTAACGAAATGTATATCTATAAAATTGTGGAACAATTCAGCTACCAGCTCTCCATCATTTTAACGGAATAGCGTTAATACGTATCGTATATGAGTTTCAGGTAGTCTAGAAAAGGCAATTATGAAAAAAAAATAAAACCATCCATCAATCTAAGCATATATATATATAAACGCAAGAACAGATGTACATATAAATATAAAAAATATGCCATTTCTACTTTAAGCACATAAAGCAGGAAAAGGAATGGAGTTAATATGCGTCAGCTTAGTATGGTCCCAAACAATCTTATACCACACGAGAAAAATGCATATCTACAACGGACTATAGCTGTTTGCCTTACCAGATAGTCACTAATGCTGTTATAGTTTTAATACATTGTCGTCACTATCCTCAATCCGACACCATGGGAAGTCTCGAATAACCGCGGTTAACAATGACACTAACGTGTCTAATTACGGAATCAGCGAAAATACCAGTTTGATAAATAATCCCAATTATGACAAATCTATATTTCCACAAATTTAGATCGAAGCCAAAGAATCGCAGTGCCGTTATTTTTGTGATTGTACAGGCTTAAGCTCGTGGAATAGATCAGCATAAGATCATCATTCGTTGCCCTCAAGTTAAAATTAATATTATGATAATTCATTTGAGCAGACCTACCCAATAAATGTATAAAAAAGTGCTTTACATATATCCTATCCTTTTATTTGCCTTTTGCATCATTATTTATTGATCGATTTTAATAGTTGTAGAGACGAATATATGTAGAATCAGTTGCTGGACAGGCTGCACAAATATAGTCATAGTAT